CTAATCACTACCGTACTTTTCTGGATCTCTTTCTATTCTAGAGTTAGCGTATACGGCTGTCCAGTTCTAATATTAATGCTAAACGACCAGAACTTCTTCGTACCAGGGCACGTTCAGAAAAATCGATGCCGACGAGATCCACTGAAAATTATGTCCATTTGGACAGCGTCTCAAATTATTTAAATGGAAAAATAAAGGCCATTCATAGTAGAAGAATAGTGAGGAATGGACGAATGAAAATTTTTTGCAATGACTTTGAAACTAGAAGGATCAAATGGTCCGGAATGCAATTTTGGTGCCTTGGTTGCAAATTCGAAAAGATTTGTTCAATGGTCATGTGGCAGCAGTTTTTCTTCAGAAATTTTCTATATGATTAGTTTATAGAAATTCAAACGGACAGGTTTACCATGGACGAATCTTGAATCAGTATCGCGCTAGGACCCTAATACAAACTATTCTCGCTAGGATAACACATATTTCCTGAGAAAATTTTAAAAATACATTAAACCCACTGATTCGATATGTTGGGCGTCGATAAGTTCTTCTGTGATGAAACCGTCTTCGTCACTAATAGTAGTAGCTACAACTATGAGAGCCTTGACGGCTACGATAACTACGATAATGGTGCCTAGTGAGGTTAGCAGCCGAGGCATCGGCCATGCCACTTTACACCTCACACAACCTAAAATCCGCTGTTCTACGGGATATGCAGAAAGTTCTGGAAATATTTCGTACGACTACGACGACCAAACTGAACTGCAAAGGAAAAGAGCGCTAAATATTGCGCGGAAGCAATGATGACAAGGCTTGCACAGTGCTGGAATGGACCACGTGTTCGGACAACACGTGACTAAAAAACATCCACACCACTTCAAAATTAGGTCAAAAAAGAACTGGTACGAATTTTTGCAGAATTTCGTGTCTACTCTGAAACAATATTGGAAGAAGAGCCACTAAACAACAGTGGAACTCAGAAGAATCCAACAAAATACTCGGAAAAGCCCCTCGGAAGCCACTAAAGAAGAGGGACTCGTTCAAAGGAGACGATGGTGGTCTGCCAAAAACCCTTTAAACAACTGGAAATGTAGAAAGCGCCGACAAAGGAGGTATTACAACGGAACAAACCCGAACTAGATTCACATGTGAGCTGACGTGCGTTATGCCAACGTCCCTCACGTAATATTGCACACAAGACTTTTTCTGGAAAACACTTCCGTTAAATGGAATGTTATTATTAATGTTCATAATTTCTTGACTTACATTAAAGTAATCAGTCAGCTGGTAATGCAGTTACTGCCAATGGGGTGAAATTTCAATAATAAGACTATTTCGCCCTTAGTTTTCACCTGGTTTCAATGACATCCAGACAATGAGTTTGTAACCTTTAGAGTTAATTATGGGAAGTTATAACAGTGTGCAAAGCTAGATCGATGATACTACATATGTATCAAGTAGTTAATGTAACTACCGCACGAACTCAGGAGCACTAAGAATTTCCAATGCAGATTAACAAGCTGCACCCATCAAGGTGATCGACTATTCTTGTAATACTTTTGACAAATTTGAAGTCTTTTTGTCATAGTAATTCGCGATAAACGCCAAGATTGGCGCTTCATAAGTTATCAGAAATGCTGGGTTACGTTCCAAGCTGGACTCGAACCCGTACCGGACCCCCTTTCGGGGCGAGTGCACTATTTATCACGCCATCATAGACGCTCCTACCGTGAGGCGCGGGTTGGAGTCGCATCTGGAGTCTAATTTTGCCAATGTTCTTGCGATGTTTTAGCAAAATTTCGGAATGAATTTCTCGTTATTCAGCGAGATTTGAAGTCTACAAGGCAATCACCATTAATAGGTGCAATAAGTGCCCATCTCGCGGGCATCTTTTCATCTCTACTAGAACTACAGCGACTGAAATGGGAAGAGGCGGTCGGTGTTGTTTTCGAGCCAAAGTCGATAAATTTTCTTCATTTTCCATAGGCTACATCAATGTCTCAAGTAGGTGGTGGATTGATAAGCGGGGCATACATACAGATACAGCTGCAAAAAAAACCTGAACAAGCCAAAAAATCGGAATTGTCCATCAAATTATTACTTGATCTCTTGGCTTGTGTATCAAAATATTGTGGATATAGATAAAGTTTGCTCCGAAGAAAATATTCCAAATCAGTAAAAACGACCCTTAGCCCACTCAGAAGTACGTCTAAGTTTCCAGCCCCAAGGTCAGCATCCGGATGACAGGATGACCGAGTAAAAGCCTTCACTCAACCCCATCAGGCATCTTTGAGATGACTTGAAGCATGAGTCGAAAGGAAAGAAGACCACCAACACGAGTGAACAGTTCCATGCATTTCAGGGAACTCGGAGCTAATATCCTGGGATACCTCCTGAGCTCCTGTGGAGTCGATTCCTCCACAGGAGCTTCAGGGTGATGAAGGCTCTAATCCAACAGTGAGCAGACCAGATTCAGAGCGCTGAATAGGTTTTTTCTTCCTGTTGAATCCCCGCCATCTGCTCCCCTTCCTACTGTATTACTGTTGAATAAGAGCTTCAAAGCTGTTCAAAATGCGATTTTGTGGCTTCTTCCAAGTTTTTTTTCCGCAGCTGTAATAATCATCGCAGTCGATCGCAGTTGGCACAGGAGGGGGAAAGGGAGGGAGGGAGTGAGTCCGTACCCACCTGCGCTGTCTACCAATAGTGATTACTTAGGGATCGATTCAGTGAGAAATGGAAGCAAAGGTGGAAAGCTCGCAGGTGGGATGGGACATCCAATCTCACTTGAACTACCGCCTCCGACTAGCTGCAATGAATATCTCCTGAACGTCGGCGATCTTGCCTTCGGCCCCCCGATCACCCTGCATTTCTCTCATCGTGTTGCAGCTGGGTACACCTTTCTTTAGTCATCATTAGGCATTTAGTTAATGTAGAACCGCTTAATTGTTTCTAGGCAGAAAGAGAGGCGGTGGTTGATAGGCGAGTTAATGTTGATTACACAAGAAACAGCCCTCTATTATGTTTTGCAAGCGTGCAAACATATGATTTTGCGTGCAATTTGAACTGGAATTAATTATTCTCTGATGAAAGCCTCCATTTCAAGAACTGGAATGAAGTCTCTCATTAGGGTCAGAGCATACAGGACTCCCTGCACCAGTGGGAGCAATAGACTTGCTAACTGCGAGGCACTGCAATTTGAGAGCGCTGCCAGAGTATCCCGAGGATTCCTGCACTCTGAGCTTACTCTGAGCTTGTTAGTTTTGCCCATAGTCCACTACTGCTTTACAGGCAAATGCCCCCCCCCCCCTTCCCGGAACTCTCCCTCTCGGGAGGTACAGGCAAGCGATTTCTGTATCTATAGCTGCATTTCAAACTCCTGACTCTAATAAATTACTCAGGTCTCTATACGGAGTATGACCTTGTAAGTTCTGACTGTTAGACAAATGTGACCTGGTCCTGTGGGTCTGCGTGAGGAAATCCTGGGAATCTGAATACTTTGCTCCTGTTGCACTCGTCTGCAGGAGATCGCTCATTCAGATACACTCATTATTTTTCCGAGCAAGTGAGTGGGCGTGGATTGAGGCGCTGCCTCGGCGGCCTTTCCCATTAGTTGATGCTGTCTCAGGCAACAATTAATTGGCAAGAAAGGCTTTTCGGCTAAACGTCAACCCACGCCGACTCACAGGCCCCTCGTTTGCGAGTTCATTCCAAATTCTATGCATTTTTGCAGGAAAATAGTTTGTTGAGTGTTTTGTTTTTATCCTCTGTGCAACCTTTATTAATAAAAATTGCTTCAATAACATCGGGAATGCATGCCTTTATTTATAACATATTCATTCATTACTAAAGAGCGGCAGACGTCGTTGTAGTATCTTAATGGCCACCTGTGGGAGCTGGTCGAGTGGGAGACGCATGTGTGGGATGGGTGGGAGCTATATGCGTGGGACTTGGTCGCACGGTAGGTGAGTGTGTGGAAGCTGGTTCGGTGGGAGCGGCGTGCGTGGGTTCTGGTTTTGTGGGAGCGACATTTGTGGGTTTCGGTCGCGTGGGTTGAGTACCTGTGGATTCTGGTTGAGTGGAAGCGGTATGTGAGGGATGCGGTCGCGTGGGATGGGTACGTGTGTGATCTGGTCCCGCAGGAGGGGTATTCGTGGGATGTGGTCGCGTGGGAGCGGTACGTGTGGGATGCGGTCGCGTGGGATGGGTACGTGTGTGATCTGGTCCCGCAGGAGGGGTATTCGTGGGATGTGGTCGCGTGGGAGCGGTACGTGTGGGATGCGGTCGCGTAGGGGTAGGTCGTGAGGGGAAGGGCTTTGTTGGAGCGCTTCCTGTTGGTGTAGCCACCGTGACGTCTTTCAGGCACTGCACACTGATGAATCTTACAAATTGGCCGTCAATACTCTGAGCCTGCCATCTGAAAAGGTTTGATCTCAATGAGAATGATTATTGTGATAGGGGCTCGTGACTTACCGTCCATTTCTGCATCTCGCAATTTTCTCAGCACCGGCTCCGACGCTCAGGATAGTACCATCGGATGTTGTAATGCTCATGATGCTTCCATCGGTTGGGCACTCAATGGCCGCATGGGATCTTCCGTTCCTCTTGAAATACCTGTACGGGAATGAGTATTTATCAAACTGTCAAAAGATTATCACTGTCAAAGAGTCAGCTATCAGGATTAATGAGAGTTAGAGTGACGACAATTTGCTTTCGGCCATGATGAGGTAGCCACTACTTCGTGTCCCGCTGGCCGCCTCTACAAGCTGAGCACAGGTCTTACGGGCAGTTGGCACGATAATTTGGTACTCGGCCTAAAATGCTAGCAGGGTGCTATGTAGTGAGAAAATGGCGAAAAAACGAAGTGAAACGGTTAAAAACCTGCGAGGAAATGCTCTCGTTCTTGATAATTCGGACGAGTTTCCCGTAGGCATCTTGATAATAACCGCTACGTTACGTACGGCTGCACGTACGTACCCATAAATCTATGCAGCATCACGGCCCTTATCAAACCCTTCGCTTCATAATCAGTTAGCAAATGAACAATTCGAGAGTCAGGAAAGTCCATTTGTGGGCGGGCGGGCGCGGCGGGCGTTCGGGTCGGTATGTTGTAGCTTGATAGGGCCTTATAAGGGCACTTCCTTGGAAAAGGCGCTACGCAGCGCCTGCTCAGGGCGCGGAATTCCGTCCTGCCAGGCGTACTAATCCTACTCGTCTTAGGGATTTACTGTGCCAACTTCCTTTAACTAGGCAATGATGCAGTGTAGCATCCCTTCCACATTCAGTTCGTGATAGGGTAAGAGGATCGTTCGAAGACAAACCTCGTGTCGTGGATAATAGCTTTCAGTTACGAACCCATAGCTGCTACATGACCTCCAGGTGCAAGAAAAAAAAACGATGAAAAATTATAGAAAGCACTTTGAGTGAAGGTCAGACAACCTCTCTGGATGAGTTCTGCGGACTTGTTTGTTTCATGCCTCAAACGGATACCCTGCCACCCCCGCCCCCTTTCCCACCAATCGATTCCTCTTCTTAGTAACATCTAGCAGTGAAAAAAGCGCGGTGTGAAAGTAAACATATGAGGGGGAAATAGCCTTCGAGTTTCGGTTCGTGGAACAACTAAGGGGGCATCAGAACTGCCAGCAGTCGGTGGGCGGGACAACTAGGGAGGCGTCAGAGCTGTCCCTTATGAGGGCTGTACCGCCTTCGTTACTCGCTGTGAAGCTGTGAAAACGGGATGTTCGTAGGATTGAGGATTAGACAACTCGTACGATGAGTGACGTCTACGAAATGCTCAAATTGCCTGAGAGCGGGACTGTCTTCAAGCTTTTTTTATTGGATGGTGGGAGTCATTGGACCTATGATTTTACCCTTGAGTGAGTCTTTCGTGGCGAAGATTCGAATAGACTGCATAAATGCTCACCTGATGCTTGCAGGGAAGCAAGTAGCGCCCGTGCTTACCGCCCGGCATGATGTTTGTAACCTGGGGCAGCGATTTCGATCTGCAAAGCCTGTCTTTCGAAACTTCTTTGAAGACTTCGAGCTTTCAGTTCTCTTACCACTTTCACGGCTGTTGCTATCGCGACTGTCGCTGTTGCTCTCACTCCACCAATCGTTCCACCACTGGTAAGAGTTGTAAGAGCCCCACCAGATCTGAACGATGTTTCAATGTCACTTTGTGAATATTCAAAAGGTACCTAACAGTTTAGTAAGGGGATTGAATAAGTTTCCAAGTCAGAGAATTAACATCTATACAGCTAACAGTTGCAATCCGGCTGGAATGGTATCAGGAGGCGTGGAATGAGCCCACTTGCTGCGTTCCACCGCTAGTTGTTTTCTGCCTGATCCGAACACTACTGGTACAACACTGCCACGGGTAGGCTCAATCCACGCCCATTACATGACCGACAATGTCAGCTATAAATTGAAAGGTCGAAAGTAACTTACGGAAGGGCTCGGATACCCTAGTGGAGCCGAATGAGAACGAGCCGGGAATGGATTTTGCGGAGGATACTGCTGTACGTTGTAGCCCGTGCTCACGGCTAACAGGGATGCAAGCGCCGCAAGGCGGAACATGCTTCAAGTAAAACTCTTAAAAGCAATGGGTACGATAGGTGGAGGAGGGCGGTTACTGCCAACGTTATTGGTCCAATGGCTGCTAGAGGGTATCCGGCCACACCCCACATAGGACCAAGTGACGTTGGCAATAATCGCCCTCCGCTAGCCATCGTCACACTGTCTTCAAAAAAGATAACTATTGAAGCTGGTGAACCAAAAAAAATGGCCTGGCTCCTTAAACTGCTTTCGGGGGGCTCCACCTTTTATTTAGAATTTTCACAACAAAAATCTGATGTTGGCTAGGCATAATGATTCAAGGAAAATGCAGACGTTAATCATCACATGCTTAGAATGGCATATTATGGAATGATTAATCCAAACATTTCAAAACAATTGCAAGGAAAAAAATTGCCCCACATAATGTACCACACGTTTGATAACAAATAACAATGGCCAAACCTTGAAAAAAGGCTGGATTGCTTTGGGAGATATTTCTACCGGTGCTCGATCCCGAGCCTGCGCGCAATGCCATGGAGGCGCTACCCACCACTGTTTCTTCTTCTCTCTAAAATTGAATATATGAGAGAATATATTTTAATTTGGAAAGCAAATGACGCGTTATCCACCAAAGTAACTATTATGGCATGCGAGATTTTCGTCAGGTAAAAGCAGCTGATTATGTTGCATTTCTGTGGCTTGTACTTTTATTGATTTCTCGCGTTGGACAAGATAAGAGTGAGCCAAACAGTAGTACCAACGCGAATAAAATTGATTAGCATTCCCAGCCGTATGCCCCTGCTACTACTTGATTCGTTCAAACCGTCTCTTTTAATGTTGAAGACGAACCGCACACATCCCATGGATCCTGATCCTCGCCAGGTGTGAGGTGAGTGGGTCCGCAGCTGCAGTTGCTTCCGCTTTCTCCGCTCAAAACTGCATGGGAACGAGGTTGGAGGATAGTCGTACTCATCACCTGACTCCATACGCTGCCTCCGGCCGCGAGCAGCCATATGCCTAACCGTAGCCAAGCGCGCTACCTGTCTGCGTCCTCTCTATTCTGATTGCTCTAAACTACCGCTAAGAACGTGTTTCGCTGCGGGTCCTTGGTATCAACGCAAATGTAGTACCTAGGGTATAGCCGGGCGGAAAATGAAGACATCAATTTCTTCAGCCCAGTTTCCAGGCATCTTTGAGCAAAGGAAGTGGCAGTCTATCGCAGCTGCGGGCCTGTTCACTCCAACATGGGAACCACCGCTTTCGTAGGTGAGTGTACAGTCTGGCCCTGAAGTGGTACACAATCTCCCAGCTTCTCTCACTTTCTTCAATCCATTGTGTAGCGAGGGCGCTGCGGCAGTCATTAGCCAAAATAGCGTTACGAATGCCAGGGTCTAACAACTATGTATATTCACAGATATTACCATTTTGTGCTCATCTCTGTGTGGCTCAGTAATAATTGCATGGACCAGTGTCGGTGTCATGCTACCCTATGGCAGCGTTCAGACTTCGCGACTTCGGATCGGCTAGGCGGCCAGCGACACGATCGCGAAGTCTGAACGCTGCCTATCTGTTCGCTCAATGTTGTTTGATCTCTCACCTGTGCATCAATGTCTCTCTTCCTCGGATGGTCCTACAAGGTGTCCTACGAGAACCGTTCAAAGTGCTCTCGGCATCGGGGCCATTTAGCAATTACTAAGTAATATGAACCATTTTGATATGTAGCTATACTCCCTAAAGGAAAAAATTTCAAAACAAAATTTCATTTAGTTATCGTCAATAATGTTCTGCTTATCCTCGGTGAAAGAACACCAAAATGGCTGACCCAGCAACTTTGAGAAAATGATTTTCGATCAAGAAAATTGAGAAAAGTTAAAATAAAATCAAGAAGATGGCTGAAAATGAGGAAGTATCGGTGACTATTCTCTAACCTAAGCAAAGATCTTACAGGTTGGTGGAAAGCGTTTTTCTTATGATGAAGAGCTGAAGGCGGCAATGAATTCCCATTTCGGGAACAAGGAGAAAAAAAAATGTTTTTGCAGAATAGAAATAATTAGTAAAGGACCGGAAATTACCAAGACAAAAAAGTAAAGTGGTTATGGGACCCTCATTAAAAAATAAATCTTGTTCCTAAAACATTTTCTGCCTTTTGCCTTCATAGGGCTATCCACGAGAGTACCACTTGGAACACCCTCGTATTTAGTGTGCCGCGAAACAATTCGTTACGAGCAGTCAGTTTGATCTCACTGTCCACGAATTTCATCTGCAGAATGTGCTCTCAGAACTGGTAAAAACTAGCACTCCTTTACTCTGATTAATGAAATGGATTGCGAGCACCACCTTCTGCAGCTTCACACAGTTTTTGTTTTGGTCTCTCAAGATTTGTCAAGACGTTGGACACATGGAGGAGCCTCAACCACGCACTTTTCTGACGGTAATCCTGTCCTTTCTTCCTCCTCAGCGTGTTGCTGTCAACACTTTGCTTCTGTTGCTGTTCGCGCTCCTCCTAACACCTCTTAAGCTTTTTCCTTGTCTTCGAAATTCTTTGGTTAAGGGAAGCGTCATTGAAACATTGCCTTTAAGGGGGCTGGAATGTATTGTCTGTATGAAGGACTGAGCTGATGTTTCAGAGTGTTGAATGATTGATTTCAATGAGACTTTTCCAGAATTCGTTGTTGAGTCAGGGGGCAAACGGTTTTGCCTGACAGTGCCAGTCGTCGTCAGCCGTCTCGAAGTTCAATAGGACCTTTTCAGAATGTTTCTCCTCACGTTTCTGATTATTCTGCTCATTATGGAACCCGCTCTTGCGCAATGGGCTAGGCGTGGACATTACCCATATCCACTAAATATTGGTCATTACCGTCAAGTGAGCTTTACCATACCTTTGAGATTTCGGAGGTTTTGCGTGTCAGTACGAACGTTTATGTGTTCCAGGTCTGGCGTCCTAAGAACCGTTGGTGGCGTAAAAGCATAAGCTCGAGTTCCGACTCATATAAACACGGTTATCGCCGACTACGCAATCACGGCTGGCGCAAACTTCTCAAGCGCGGTAACAACTTACCAGTTGGTATAGGTTCCATAAAAGTAAGTATCGAAATTTCAGTGTGGTGGTAGTCACTATCTGCATTCTACTGGTAACGGAATCTCCAGTTCGTGCTCAATATATCTGGAGAATGGTGTTTCACTAATGAAGCCGTATACTTGTTCTGTGAATTGCAATTGTAAAATTAAAATGAAAGACTCGGAGAATTGTAAATTAACTTAGGTGCAACAAAGAAATATTGATGTATCGCACATGTATCCTACTGTATGA